AATTTTCCCCTCAGTTTCGCTGCTCTGCCTTGAAATTTGCCTAGTTTTCTTGATTTTTTTATATCTTTACCCTCTCAGTCCCTGTTCTCCAACCCTCTTGTGCACCTGACACCTAGCAATAGAAATGAGTGAAATAAAGCAATAAGCATGAATTGGGCTGAGGTGCTGAAAGTGGCTGGTAGCTACTATGGGAGAAGATGCTAAGGGGTGGATATTATTACTTCAGTGGAACTTGAAGCAGACTTTTAAAAAAACATGTCATCAAGTCAGGAGTGCACCACAGTAGAGGTAAAATTAACAAGGGCATTATTAAGAATGGAACCTGCTCCCCAGGTTTTGGAACCTGCTTCTCAGAGAGGTGTGCTTGGTCCAACATTTTTTTTATTTTTGGTGCTAGGCCAAAACCTTTTTTATACACCCAATATTTTAAGGTCTGTTTATTTTATCAGATAACTGGAATTATTTTCTTGTATATTTTTATTTTGTATTGTAATGTGTTGTTCTGCTTCTGGCTTGTAAGTCATCTTGAGATCTGTTTTGGGTGAAGAAGGGAAAGCAATGTTTTAGATCAATAAATTTTCTAAGTTATTTAGCGACATTGTGAAGGTCGACTGAATGGCCTGCCTGCTCTGGCTTACAGCTAAAGGTGAGACAAAGGAGTGGGGAGGAATTCCATTTTAAACAGTGACTTAGCTTGAAAAGCCGGTGCTTTTGAGAAGGAGTGCAGGATTGATTTCATAACGTAAAAGCACACAGAACCAACGCTTTTCTGCCAGGATTTATCCAAATTTTCCCAATACCACCAACAAGAAAAATTACTGGAAAATATTTTTAAAAGTAAACATTTGTACAATCTAGATGAGTTTGGAGGGAAAGTTTTCAGCAAACCAAAATTACTAGTTTTGGTGCAGTCCTACATGTAACAAAACTCTGACAATTTTTTCTTCCATTGGGGAAAATATTGTTCTAATGTACAAATGGCATCCCTGTTACAAAATAATTCCCAACTCATATCTTCTCACAGTATCAGCAGGCAAAACAGACATTCACTGTCAGAGATTGTTTTGTTGGTACGTCAGCATGGGTATTTATGGAGGTACCTGGGAAGTACATGTCATTTATTCCCCAAGATGTACTCAGAGAGTACTCAGCAGAGGTACATCAGCTCATTTGTTAGATTTTCATTTGTCACCACGATCATGTAGTGGGTGAGTTTGCACATCACATTAAAGCATCCTGAGAATAAGTCCTGGAGTGTTGGTGGCTTGTCCATTACACCTGACAAACAATTGCCTGCTTAGTGGCTTGCCATGGTTACTTCTCCAAGTCCCTGCCGGCATGCATCCCAGGATCCTTGTGTCCGCATTCCTCATGTCAGTACCCTTTCTGCAGTCGGTCTGTTGGGAGTGCCAGCTCCTGAGGAAAGCACTTCCTTCTATATCAGATTGCAAAAAGAATGTAATTTTTTGAACGCTGATGAATGTGGGGGGGTGTCTGCAATTTTTAAATTTTCTTTTTCAAGGCCTTGTACAAGTGTGCAAAACTGCCCATTTACCCAAGCATACAGATATATCCTTATTTATTTATCTAAAACGTTTCTTTCCCTTCTTCACCCTTGTAGGAATTGAGTTTACCAGGAAGTATCTATTTTGCTAACCCAGAGCGCGCCCTGGCCAATCAGAATGGTGCAGGATGCATTACTCAGGGTCTGAGTCTAGATGAGCTTACGAGTTCATGAATGGTTTCTCAGTAGCCTGAATTTACATGTCTAAGCAGACCTGCGAATGGTTCAAATCTCTGGAAATTAAAATGTCAATACACTGCAATTAGAAATACTGTAATCTCATTGTCACTGTATGATTGGCTGACCTTCCTTTATCTGTTCTGTATGTGATGACCTCAGAATCTTATTGTAATGTCTACATTCTGTCATCAATTGCTCTGTACCTGTGTATGTGACCAGGAGGGTATAAAATACCCTGTAGTTGTATTGAAACCTTGCAGTGATTCCACCTCTGCCTGCCCGATACTGCATTATTGTGAGTATGGTCCCGGGAGCGGGGAACCTGGGCCAAACAAAGCAACAGATGATCTTAACTCTTGATCTTTCCCACAAACCCGAGTTTTATTTCCTCCTCACAAATTGAAATTCCAGGATTCTGACAGTGGCTGCTTACTTTTCATGGATCATGACCAGGGATCGCATAGTGAACAAGATTCCATTACTATGCAGATCATATATAGCTATGTGTGAGACAAGAGCAATGTAAATGAATAGGTAAACATTTTGGTAAGATGTATCACAAAGTAGCTGGAAAAGGGAGGTATGGTAAAAATTGTTCCCTGCTGAAAATGAATTGTTTGTCTCTGCCATAAATATACTGGGTTTAAATTGGAGTTCTCAATATATGAATCTAATATATTTATTCAGCAGAGTTATATACCACTTACTCTATTTAAAATATTTGTAAATGGTTATATGAAGTTATACATAATACTAGAATGCAATGTGGCTCAAGTGTTACAGCAAAGAATTGTATATCCTACAGACTGAATCCAAAACACACATTTGCATTATATTCAAGTTCATCTTAGAAAAAGCAACGAGATGCTCATGGAATTTTTCTGCTGAAGAGTTTGCTTCACTCTTCACTTGCTATAGTTTAATTGGGAACAATTTAAAAAATCCACTTTGTACACAGACAATTCCCAAATTATGAATGCCTGAGTTATGAATAACCTGTACTAACAAACAAACTGCCATAAAACCTATTAATTTAAAAATACTTCGGAGAATTATCATTGCTATAGAGAGAGAAGAAGTGAAAGGGAAGAGAGGGAGGCACGCCAAAGCATGCCTTCCAGCCCCACCCGTCCAGAGAGGGAAATATCTCTGGCGGTCCCTTGCTGCAAAGAGAAGGCACTGGTGAGTTTGGGTGGTGGGAGGGCTTAGAGATACTTGTGATTTTTCCACTTTCTACCCTCACAAAAGTGGAGAGCTGACTATACATGATTTCACTTACATACAAATTCGACTTAAAGACAAATTTCTGTTTTCTCAGGAACAGAACCCATTCATAATCTGAGGACTGCCTAGTAATGAAAATAGTTTACATTATTTGGGTGGGAAATGAAACAAATCTGTGTAATGTCTTTGCAGTTGTGTTTGATACTCAGCTCTCATATACCCTGTTTCCATTGAATAGAAACCTAAATAACTAGCATATAAGTTATGCTTCCAATTACTGTATCTTATGAATACTCCAAAATGTGGTTGTATTTAAAACGGCAATCTCTATCATCTAGAAAGAGATATACATTTGAAATTATTCTCATGTTCTTGGACATTGTAAACTATGACCCTTCTTTGTCCTCTGATGTGCTGTTAGAACAGGAAAATAGAAAAAAAGAATGTATGAGTTGTAATATTATTTGGAAAGCTTCTTTCTTTTTAAAGAACAATTTTACTTCTGGATAGTATTTTACAAGAGATGTATTTCATCAATAAATTAAAAGTGTCTCAGATATTAATCCTCTCTCAAATCGCAAGATTTGAAGTCTCACAGCAAATACTGTAATCTCTTAAGCCATCTCTTAAGCGATTGTTTTTTGTGCTTGCCTATTACTGTATCTTGAATTCAGAGAGATTTTGATTGCAAAGGTAGGACGAAATTCAGTGCTATTCTTCTTTGTGAAATGTCTGCATCTCTCCCCATGATGGCAATAGTAGACAAAATGAGTACTTGCCTAAGACAGAGAAGCATCAGATACAAGCCAGGCTTCCCACGAGCAGAGTTCTGCTTATGGGATGCTTGCTTGAAGTAGGGGAGGATGCTTTTTGCACAGTTCTGCCTTCCTGCAGAATTAGGCACTGCAGTTCCCAGTGCATGGATGGGAAAATTTTAGGCCCATGGGAGTTTCTCATGCTGTCTAGCAGCCATGGAGGACACATCTCTAATCAGCAGCTGACTGGAAGTAAGATCTTTCCCTTGTGGGGATGATGGGTGGTGGGGGAGAAGTTGCTGAAGGATTCAGTCCTCCTGCTAAGCCTTGTCCTGCTTACTTCAGAGTAGGCATATCAAGACTTGGTGTTTAGGAAGCTAGTTAATATTGCTGCTGGTGATTTGGACCACTTACTTTTGAGTAGACATGCAGACGCTTGTCCTCATTTGTTAGTAGACATAGTGCTCTGGGTAGACATGCTTCCTGCAATAACTTGGTAAAATCTGAATTTGGAGGAAAGAGTTTGATTTTTTTCAGTCCACCCAGTTTTACTTTTGGCCTTCTATGTAATTGGAATGTAGTCCCCAAGAGCTTCTCCCAAATGGGTCAAAAGGGTGCCCTATGCACCCTGAAAAAATGGTCTCCTGAAAAAATGGAAAAGAATTTCCATATAGTATGGTAAAAATAATGAGATTATTGACAATATGTGAAGAAGACTATGTAATACGAGCTATCATCTCTTATGGAGCATTCATATGTATGAGAGATATTATTCCATAAATGCAACCTCTAGGGTGGGTTAAAGTGTAAAGTAGTCACCACAGACTGAGGACCACAATAATTTTATATGACTTTATCTCAATGGAGACAGCTCACTCTTTCAGTAGTAAAATACAAGACATCAAATAATGAACATATTTCAGGCGTTTGTTCTCTAGAATCTTTGCACAAAGTTTGAACATGAATGACTGCAGTCTTACAATATCCCATACTGTTGAGGCATAGGCAGAGAACTGAAATTGCAACATGTAAACTTACCTTTTTAACTGCATTACTTTTAAGACTAATTAGAATGCTGAGTATTATCATGAGAAGACATTTTCCAGTTGTTTACACTGACTTTCAGGTATTGCAATGTTTCATTAATTATGCCATCTGTTGCAGTTCCTCCATATAACATTTTATACATTACTTAATTATCCCATGGATTATTTTTTATGATTTTATTTTTCTCTTGTGTTAGTTTATTTAAGAAATCTGTATGCTTTTTTCCCTAGTGTACTTGCCGGAAAGACATGGTAACTATATCAATGGATATCTTTGTGAAAAAGTTTCAACCAGACAGATATCATCTGTGGAAACAAGGGAAGGATTTATATACTATTGATCATACAAAGCCAACTCCTGAAATGACACCCGAGGTAAAGGCCTGGCTGCTGAGAAGAAAGAAAACAAAGAGATCTTCCAGGTGGTAATGAATGTTTTGTATTCAATATAAATGAAGTTTAAAATATGCTATGATTTCTATTCTTTTTAGTGCTTCTCTCCCCCTGCCCTCATCTCTCAGGCATTTCATTTGAGTTGTTCTTTTATTTTAGTCACAGTTAATTTGTGTCTCCTTAAAACCTAGCAGTGAGCCTGAGGGCGAAAGAGTCATATTTCATAATGATAATACTCACTGAAGAAAATATATTCATTTTTTAAAAGTTTAATGAGAATGCATTACTGAAACTTAGATATGTGGAGCTTTGAGCATTAATATGGTATTTGTTCCTTTCTTTTTATGAAGATATGCATCCCCCTCCTGTGCTTTTGGCTGAATTCCAGGTTGTTCATATGCTCAGAAATTGCCTCTCTCATTGCGGGGAGAGAGGTGAAATACTGGCTTCTAGATATTGCATGAAAAGTTTCCAAATGCTGCAGAATGTTTACTTGTCTGTCCTGACAGTTCTTGAGCCTCTGGCTACAGTCCTTTATGGAAGCAGATATCTTGTTGGTAGACTGTTCAAAAGCTACTAGCAGTATCTTTTTATTTATGCTACAGTTCAATAGCAGATTTGAATTCATCATACTGAGACTTTTAATGCTGTTTGTCAGTGCACATTTCTGGAGTCAGTAATCAAAAATATTGTACTGATTATGTGTTCACCCAGGTTTTACAACCTTGAAAGTTTTTCTTAATTGGGCAATTTCTGAATATATATCTGATTTTTTCCTTATTTTGTTTCTATTTTTGTTTGCTCCATTTTTCATTACAGGGTTGTTATGTTTTTGTTAGATCAGGGTCTCTTACCTGGTGATATTCTATAAAAAGCCATGCAAACTTCTGGGGTTGGATATATAATGTTTTTCTGCTAGCACCTTTCCAATATGAACTAGTTACTTTGTCGTCTTTTCCTCTAATAAAACTAAACAAGCAGAGTAGTTGCAATGGTGCTCTAAGACTTTATGCTTTTGCAACCAGTGTGTGGAAATACTTTGTTGGGATACAGTCTTAAACCATGGTTTACATTTTTTTTCTGTAACTACCTTTTAAATGCCTATAAATTCTAAAGTAAATGTACTTCTTAATATTCGTCTGGAGAGCACTGTAGACTTACGAGACATCCACAGAATGTACCACGTGAGTGCAATTGCTTACCAAGAACAATTTCCAAAGTAGGTGTGTTCCACAGACACTACTGCAGCCCATACTTTCACGTTGCAGTACTTTTTTCAGACTTTTGGTTGCCCTGTGTGTTGTATCTTCACAATCTTTTTCCAGATGGCTATGGCAGTGCTAGGAGATCTATTTATCAGTCGGTGTTGTTGTTGTTGTTTAAAGCATTTATGCCCAGATTTCCACCAAGTAGTTAGGAGCAGCTAATGAACTTTTTTTAAAAAAATTAACAATTACAAAACCAAGCAGCTACTCTTAGAAAGTTAAATAAATTAATTTCATAGACATTATATCACTTAATAAAATAATTAACTGGAGGATTTGACAGATATAAGACTGAAACAATTTCTGTCTGCTAAAGGCCTTTTTAGAAAAAGATCTTAACCTTGTGATGAGAGGCCATTGGAAAGGGAATGAGAATAGCCTCTTTAGGAAAAGAGTTCTGAAGTACAAACGTAGCAACAGAGAGACTGGTCTCTGCCCCAGTCCTAAGCAAGCACAAATCTGATGCTGGTGAGCATCAAAGAAAGCTGCCGTCGGTGACTTTAATAAGCAGGTAGTCTCCTATGGGAGAATGTGAACCTTTAGGTATCCCAGAATCTATGGTTGCTAAAACTTGTTTTAATAATAGCTGTCATTTTGTAGATAACTGCTATGAAGTAACTTAAAAACAACATGAAAAACACAGTGTCTGATTGCAAAGGTCGATTGTAAAACGTGTTTGATAGCTGTTTATGCATATCGCTGAATCATGTACTAGCTTAATTGTTCTCTAAATCAGGAAACAAATGCCACTAGTCCAATGGTTTAACTTGGGGCAGTCCATTTTGAGTGATCTGGGGGCCAGTTCCCAGCCTCTGGGCTCCGTCTAGGACTGCTATCCTGTGACTGCACTTGCCCATAACAGGGGGAGGTTGGGGGGAATGAGCAGCAAAGGGTTACAAGACACAAAAGATTTAAGAAAGATGCAGAAAAGGTAGAAAGGGTCCAGAAGAGGGCAACAAAAATGATCCTGTGACAAGAGACTGAGAGAGGCTTTTGCAAAGGACGGCATATAAATGAATGAATGAATGTTCAGCCTTGAGAAGAGAAGACTGAGGGGGGACATGATATCCCTTTAAAAGTACCTTGAAGGTGTCACAAAGAGGAAGGTCAAGATCTCTTCTTGCACAACATGGTATAATGAAGTCAAGCTGTGACATCCCAGATTCAGGCTAGACATCAGGAAAAGCTTCCTCACTGTCAGAGCAATACGACAGTGGAACCATCTGCCTTGAGAGGTGGTGGGCTCTCCCACATTAGAGGCATTCAAGGCAAAACTGGATGGTAATTTGCACGGGATGGTATAAATTGAGGACTTGCAACAGCAGGGGGTTGGACCCAATAGCCTTCTTGGCCCCTTCCAGCTCTATGATTCTATGAAAGGGCCACATATATCTTGAAAACACTTAGGCAATTTTTAGTTTCCATAGTAGGAATAATGTCTCTGTATGATATTTTGGAGGACTTTCATTCATAGGGTTGGAGATAATTTGATGGCACATAACCACAACAACATAGCAGGAGACTGCTGATTTGTTTGCCTCTGTGCTGCCAAATTTCAGCAGTGCAAAGGTGAGACTAGACAAAATGTTACTGGGTGGGGGGACACTGTGTCACTCACCCCTGGTTTCAGAATTTGGTTCACCAGAGATCTTTGACTATGCTGATCTTACATTGTCCACAAAAACAGTGTTCTTGCAGTTTATGGCATTGTTAATTAAAGATGTGTTTAGAGCTCGAACCAGTATCAAGGTCAGGAGAACTGCAAGTATTGACAGCCTTCTGTACATCTCTTGTAAACAATCATATGTAATTGGCATCTCAAAAGAACAGACTATTAAACACTAATTACAATTATGTAAGTGGTGGGGTTCTACAGGACTAATACTTTCTGTTTATTCATGAATGTTCTGGAATTAGAAGTGAGCAGTGAAGTGGCCAAGTTTGCTGATGACATAAAACTACTGAAGGTGGTTCATATCAAAGGAATTGTGAGGAGATTTTGTATTTCTCCCCGCCCCCCTCTATTTCCTTCAGCAGACAGACACTCCCTCTGTCTCTTCTGCTTAGGTAAGGGACAAAGGAAGCAGGCCCAAAGGTGTAGGGCAGACTGCCTAAGGACAGAGCTGTGGAGTAAGGTGCTGCAGGCGGTAGACTCCTCCAAGTCTGTGCAAAGGGCGCACCTGCCTCCTTCGGAGGTCTAAACTTCATCTCTCTCTGTGCCTGCTTCGGTCATGGCTCTCACCATGGGCCAGACTGTACCACCGAAGCTTGAACACTCATTGGGGGTGTTCAAGAAAGCCAAAGCTGCAAGAATGACAGAGACTGCTAAGTCAAGGGGCCACAAACAGCATTCAGAAAAGCACCACTGTGATTCTGGTCAACTATTGGTACCGACCATGGCATTTGAATCCAAGCTACTGGTATGAAGACAAGAACTGATTTCGACAACCCTCCTCTGCAGCCTCAGTGGTCCATTGGTCAAGTGGCACTTCACCACTCCTGATGGAACCAACATGCATTAAATTAGAATATCTTATACACCATTCTCATTCTCCTCTCTTGGATTGGGACAGGTCCCACCATCATACTAAAGATATTGCAACCTGTAGGGATACTATTGGGATCAAAACACTTCCTGTGATCTTTGGTACCAATGTGAGCTTCACTCTGAGTCCTACTTTGGAGGGCAGGAGCAATTCTACAGGGAACTCATGTTTTGGATGCCTCCTCCACTATGGCTGAGGGCCCCTCTACCACTTTCTAAGTCTATGATCCTTCAAGAACTGTCACTGGATCATCTCTCTACTCCTGCTGTAGCACCTCATCAGTCATCATCTCATGCCACTGTACTCTCAGGACTGCACCTGGCATTGACATTTTCTGAGCTAGAGGATACAACCTTATCTACATTGGTGCCTCATCTCTGTCATCTCGTGTAGCAGCCATAGGAATCCAGGATCCAGCTGTTGGGAAGAAGTGAGTTGGCGTGCTTTGGCAAGCGCTCCCACATAATGTTAGCTGTCTTTTTTGCTGACTCAGATTCTGAAGATGAATATTACAGTGGGATTGAGGAGCAGCAGGGTGCTCAGAGTCCTGATACACAACTGGAGGAGGTGGCTGAGCTGATTAGCTCAAGGGCAGATGCAGAGGTGGGCCAGACAGACTCTGGGAACAGTATGGAGATACAGGAAGTGGAAGGGCCATTGCAACTGGGCAATCTTCAAATGGAGATCAGCCCCTCTCCTCAGAGCTAGCCATCTTGGCTAGCTAGCAACAGAGGTGAGATGTCCAGTTGGTTGAGACATGTGGAAAAAAGACATGCTTATTTTCACAGCTTCCTCCCCAAGTGTTGGGACACAAGCTGGCTCATATGGAGAGTTTTGGGAAGAAATCACTAGGTTGGGTTCAACAAACTGCTTTGTGCATGCCCAGAGACTTGATTGGATGATTTACTTGTAGAAACAATAGAGTTTGCTGAAAACAGTTTGGGGCTGGCAGTTGTTGAAAGGAGGAAATGTGCCTCAAAACAGCAGTCTCTCTATCTGAAGATCCGGGCCACTTTTTGGATCAGATTCTCCATATAGCTCTCTTTTTGGGCCTGTGCACATGGCAACTTACAGAGGAGATAAGGGACTCAGTATTCGACATGGTACATATGGTAGTGTTGACCCTGGTTGCAATATTATTTCTGTCAATGCTTCTTGAGATTGGTACAGCAATTGTGGAAGATGCCAACCTCCATGACTCTGGCCTCCAAGCGGCTCAAAAACAGGGTGCAGGAAAAAGAACATTCCACACCAGTCTACAGGGAAGGCCACCATCTGGACATGATAGGAAGGCACATTGTTCTTCTTTTGCTTTGGGAGTGAGGTTAGCAACCTACCATGCTACTATGGCCCAGTTGCCACAGACAACACCACAATGGTCTTCTACCTCAGCAAACAGGGAGGTACCCTGTCTGTTCCTCTGGCCCATTGAGTCGTCAGGATCTGGGACTGGCATTACCCTTACTGTAATCCAAGAGACACTTGCTGGCACTCAAAGCTGCATGTCTCCCAAATTCCATGAGTGACAACTCCACACTGATGTACTGTGGAATATCTTTATGGAGTGGGGAAAGTCTTAGATTGATTTCTTTGCCACTCAGGAGAATACGATATGCCCCCATTCCTTTTCTCAGGTGGGAGTGGGCACATATTCTCTGGCTGACTCTTTCCTCTTGAACTGGTTGTGGAATTTGTTCTATCTGTTCTCCATATTTTTCCTCTGAGCACAAGAATACTAGCAAAGGTTCATTGTAATGGGGCAGTTTGCATCATCATAACACCATGGTGGCCTACACAATTATGGTTCACCCGACTGCTATGGATGGCTAACCAAACCTTCCTCAAGCTCCCTTCAAAGCCAGTCCTAATCTCTCTAGATCAAGGAGATGATTGCAGTCACAGGGTGGAGGATCCTTAAGTGCAGTGCTTACTGCTCTTCTTGAAGGACTATGTGTGACTCTGAAGGCTTCTGCTACAAGATTGTATGACACAAAGTGGAAGGTTTTCTCCTTCGCAGCACAAGAAGGTTTCAGTCCATATCAGTGTCCTATAAAACAACTCCTCTTCTTCCTCCACACTTTGTTTCTGCCTGGGTTGCTGGCATTGTTAAACTATGTATACCTTGCAGAAATTTCACCCTTTCACATACTGATCTACTGATCAACAATTTTTCAGGGTGCTTAAGAACACTATTCCACCAACTCATTCTTAACACCAAACTGGAGACTCTTGTTCTCTTTCAGGCCCTTATGAGGAAATGTTGGAACCCATGCAGACAATTGTTTTCTTCTGACATGGAAGGTCATTTTTGTGGTAGCAGTTACTTCAGTTCACTACTCCAGTGAGAAATGTGCTCTTTGGGAAGATCCCCCAAACCTTGTTTGCCATAGAGGCAAAGTAGTGCTCTGTCTGGACCCTTCATTCCTTCCCTTTCAAGAGCATACAAAAGTTACCAGCCTTTTTTGCTTCCCTGTCAAATCTGATAGAATCAACCTCACGTATGCTGGATGTCAGTAGAGTGCTGATGTTCTACCATTTTAGGACCTGGCCTGGAACTTCATTATGGTTCTGCTCAGTTATATGAAATATTTTTAATGTCTGCAGGGCACTTTATATATGAAGCAAGAACATGTTTTGTCACCCTCACAGCATTTAGAAATGTATGTTTGGTTTGACAATAATTTCAAATCTCTCCTTTTTTCCTCAGAAGAACTTGCAGTGTGGAAATGCCTCTGTATGCATTAGTTTTGCTCTGACTTATCTCTTGCTCTTTTATTTTCAATCTCTCCCTTGTAAGCAACTAAAAGCCACAAGAGTGTTGGACTTTACACAAATGTGTGCCATTTAATCACCAGTCTACATAAAGTTTTGCATTTTCAACTTCAGAATCTTTGGGTTTTAGTATGTGTATCACATAAGAGTTCACTGTATTACTATAGAGCTTGGCATCTTTATTATACAACTGCCATTTGCATTTGGCAGAAAAATTATTTCCTTGTCAGTGCAACCCTTATTTATCTGGATAGCCAATTTAAAAGTTAAAATTAAAAATGGAGACATTATAATAATTATACTGAAAAGTTTTATCAGATGAGTGCATGCACTGAATTTATTCACAATGCTAAACCCGTGGATGCATTTCTTTGCTGTTTAATTAGGAGACTTGGCACAAGTGCAAACACAGCAGGAGATGCACATCCCCCAAATGAAGATAAAATGTTTGCTCACTTTCACCTCTGCTGTAATATGTCAAGAAAAAATATGATAATTTTGATTCTGGGAATAATATGCCTTTGAAATAGTATCCCATAAGTACAGAAATACCAACTCAAGGAAAAGAGTGAGATGATAATGTTTGTGTTCTGGGCAACAGGTTGTGACAGTACTGCCTTGGTGTAAGATGTTTAGACAAACTGGAGAAAACAGTAGTGGCAATAGAGAATTTCATCACTTGTGATACAGATTTTGAAAGTGCAGGTCATGTTTTGTATGCACTACTGCCAGAAAGATGTCAGCCTTATGACATATCAATGTACAGCATAGACAAAACATACATTTCCCCCTTTTCCCAGTGGGAAATGTATGGGAGACTCAGCCCAGAAGTAGTCCTTCCCTCTTCTCTTAGTTATGCCAATACTTTGCACATGCTCAAACACTGATGGCTTTAACATATTTTTGTGTTGAGTCTTAACACTGAAAATCGAAACTGGGGCTAGAGCATGGCACAAATGAAGTTCCTGTGGTAATAATAAAATGGCTATTTAGAAGCAAATGAAAAGTTAATGATCCTTTTCTATTTCCATCTCTTATATTCTTCTTCCAAAATATGAAACTTCTTTGTGGTCAATGAGTGATAGGCCTGTTTTCAGCCGAGTACATTGAAAGCTAGCGGTTCTTTCTCATACAGAAACAGCAAACACCCTACTGTAATCAAAGTTATACAATTCATGTACCAGGTTAGTTTATACAGAATCAGTCCTTCAGGCAACAGTTTTTGAACTGCTGTTCTCTTTTATCCCTTGTTGATTGTGTCTCATCTTGATCAAAAGTTATTAATGCTGAAGTATTATTATGTACACTAGTAATAGCTTCCTGGATGTGTGTTATAATTTTTCCCTAATTCAGATTGCAGTAACTATTGTTAAAGCTGCATTTGCTACTGGTGAAAATTAATGATTTGGGATGGGGTAGGGGGAATGAGACTGCAGAGAGTAATCAATCAAAATGTCTTATACACTTTGGGATTTCAGCATCATTGTCAAAGTGTAATGCAATTGAGAGATTGCTGTAATGCAGCTAAGTTAGTCTTTGTCACATTCTAAAGAATGCTTCACCAAGTAACTGGTTTTGGAATTTACTGCAACAGAGTTACTTGAGGTTGTTTTAGTTTAATAACTAGTTTTAAAGAACTGTAATAACAAATTAAGGGGTTAAATGCAATCAATTGTTAATCTATCACTTAATAAATTGTAAACTCTATCTCTGCACAAAAAGATGAAAAATTGTCAGTTTTTTTACTCCTCTAAGCAGGTGAGAGGGACATTTATATTGGTAGATATTTTATCTTACCCTAGCCAGACATTCTGTTCTGACAGCAGTATCTCTTATAACAGCTTCCAGCACACCCGATCACGATCAAAAAAGCTTAAAACTCCAGAGGACAAGAAGGTATCAACCATAGTGGTTGGTACAGAAATCACAGCTACTGAAGCAGCTACAGATAGCTTCAAGGTCAAAGAAAAGCCATCAGAAAAAGTAAATCCAGTAAACACAGGAGTGCCTTCTGGGGAAGAAGAAGACACAAGCTGGATGCAGATAGATCAGAATTTATTGGATAACAAAAAGGTCCCAGGTGAGATGAGTGATATTTATTTCCCTTAGAATTTGTAGGCAGTTGATACTGTGATCCCATAAATCTGCAAAGGAGAAGCTATACCCTGAGTTGCTCCATAACACTGCTTAAACTGTGCAGTGCTATTATACAGCCATGGGAATCTAGAGTGTTTAGAAATGTTGAAGCAATTTGGTGCATGAGCAATTGCTTATTGATATTTGTCAGTAGTAAAAGTAAGTAGACCAGTAGTGTTTCAATACAAGTGCAATTATGCAGGTAAGCTTTCTTCCAAGCACTTCCCTGTTTACTTTTGGATTTTGATTTTTATCCCATGTTTTCCAAAAGACTTTGCAATGGGTAACAATGTATGAAATAAAAAACTACTGAAATATAAAGAACATTTTGAAACAAGTCAACTGCTAAAAGAGCCATCAAAAGAAATAGTTACAGCTCTCATAAATACTCTGTTTCTCATAGTTTCCCTCACAGGCAGCCTTCTGCCTCTCCCAAACTTTACTCCTGCAGATGTTGCACCCATTTTTTAATACCTTCTGTCAGACAATTCTCCTATTTCCAGTGTGGTGTAGTGGTTAAGAATGTGGGACAGAGGCTCAGGCAATTTGAGTACTAGTCCCCACTCAGTTGTGCAGCTCACAGGGTGACTTTGGACCAGTCATAGACTCTCAGCTCAACCTAGCTCAAGAGCTGTTGTAGTGAGGATAAAATTAAGAGGAGGAAGAGAAATATGTAAGCCACCTTGAAATCCTTGGAAGGAAAACAGGTGGTGTATAAATATAAATAAACAACCCACACTAATATCTCCTTTTGCATTCCTTTCATTTCAAAGGAGAAAAGTTAATTGTCAAATATAGTAAATATACATAAACTTCATAATTTATTTGATGTTTCATTCAAAATATTTTACTAACCACCTACTCTATAGCAGTTGGGTTGAAAGTAAGCAGTTTGGTAGTTTGCAATTGTAGTAACCAATGAATTTGAATGAATTCCATGTGCATACTACAGAGTTTTAGGTCATGGAATGATGAAGACATTTCATATGTCTTTTGGAGGTACTTTCCTGCTTGAGAGTAAAGGCCTATAAATCTAAAATCCAAGGGGAAGTAAGCTAAGATACAGAGAGAAATGGTTCTAGCCTGGCATTGTATAGTTTCCACACAATAGTCCATGTGGGACTGCTTTCATAATTGCTTTAAAATGTTTTGCATGAGCTTCAAGCATTATGCTGTGAATGGCCCTTAAATTACCATGAGAATACATACAGGATTAAGTGCATCAAATGCTACCACTGTTGTACTGACTGCTATCTTTCCTTCCTTCCTTCCTTCCTTCCTTCCTTCCTTCCTTCCTTCCTTCGGAATGTATTGCAACAGGATTGCTTAATGGATTCAAACCCTATGTGTATGTGTAAACCCAGCTGAAAAAACTGTAAATGTATTTTTCTATTTAGTGACTAAAAGCCACAATCATGCTTTTTTTTTCTTTTTTAATGCCCATGTTGTGCTGATGCTGAACATTTCTTTTCTTAGATCACAACTCTTCAAGTTCACAACATAGTCATAGTCCTCTAATGAAAAAAATACAATTAGAAATTGAAGAGAAAGAAGTCTTTGTGCCAACTTGTTCAGAGGAATCTACCCTGGCTTTGTGTTCACCTGCTAGCTGTAATCAGGATGAAGATTTTATAACTTCAACAACTTCAGGACGGACACTTGAGTATCTTTCTTCAGAAGCTGAGAATTTGGAGAAAGAAGAAACTAGCAGCGTTTCTACTGAAGAGGGTGATGTTAGTGATGGTGAAAGCAGTGAAAATGGCTTGGAACCAGGAGAAATATCACTAGTAAGAAAGAGAAATGACATAATTCAAGCATATCTGATAAATTGTTCCATGGCATATATCCAGAATTGCATGAAGTGATACTGGATTTCAAATAGTTTGGCACAAAAAAAGTCATTTGGTATAGGGTAGATATTAGAGCCCCACCTCTTCACATTATTTTGAAATTGTTGGAATCTCATATTATTTACAGTAAGTAAAGTAAATAAATAAATTAGCTCATCATCATCATCTTCATAGCAGTGTAGTGCTTTAAAGTATTCACTGCACTTCTTAGTGACATTTGAAACGGCCTTCCAAGGTAGATCAGCATTATAATTCCTATATAGATTTAGTGCATTTTCATCCCAGTCTTCTGCCAAGGTTCCTAGAGCAGCTTACGAAGATCAGAAATAAATTCCTGCCCACATGTTTTCAATCTAAAAAACCCAACATAAAAGGAAAGAGAATTGGGAGGCAGGAGAAAGGCAAATTCGGGCACTAGATTCTTGGTTGCAGTGTACAGTAAGTAGATCATGCCATCTGGAGCTGTACTCAGGCATGACCAAGGGTGCCTCTTCCCCTGGCCTCAGCAGGGGACTTGTATCCAGGCACACAGAGGGATGCCCATCTGCTGCTTCCTCTCCTGTCGACGGCCTCAGCAGTGGCGGTTGGTAGCAGGAGATGTTGGTGTGGTAGGTGGGGTGTTTCTCAGCTGCAGCTGTATAGGGCAGGATGGACAAGTGCCTGACTGCTGTATCTTCTTTCTCTAATGGCCTCTGATTGCACTTGAGAGGCTGAAAGAGTAGTGAATTGCCTGGGGCCTCCAAGTGAATTTGTGGCCAAGGTGAGATTTTGAACTGGTGATTTTGCAAAGAACCCTCTTAGCCAGCGAACCACATAAAATTGTTGTTTATATTTTATTCTGTAAAACATCCATTTTCAGGGTTTTTTTTGGTTGCAAATGTTGATGTGAAAGGGACTTCAAGAAATAATAGCATCGCGGCATTCACTAACTTGGAAGCTAGATCTGCGTTTGGCACCCGCGGAGAGCAGCCCATTTTGGATTGCCAGATGTTCCTAAGAGAGTGGAAAATATACTTTCGAGCTAAGAATAAAGCAGCACTTACCCTTTTATTGACATAAATAGCAGACTCATCATTGTTTTACAGAGAGATGAGACTTAACAGTCCCCAAAGCCAGTGCTTCTGTTTTAATATAAAGCACTAATAAACATCTTCTCAGTGGTGAGATTCTGCATTACAGTTTATGTTTAATTCATTTGCTTGGGTACTTTTTAGCTATTCCTAAGTGGGTTTTCAAATATTTTCCAATATGTTTGCATGCTGTGTCTGTCTTGTAGTTGCACAAAAGCACTTTATAGAGATGCTGCTGAAAAAAGCAGACTCTTTGCATTTCTGCACAGCTATGTTGCTTTGCTTAATGAATTCACTATGTTCTTTAATCATAGGAGCAGCTGCACTGCATTAGGCTAATGATCCTTCCAGGTCAGTGTCCTGCTTCCTTCAGTGGGCAGACCTAGCTGTCCCTGTAGTGTATGACAGCTGCAGGGTACTAATAAAGTATTCCATTCCCTATCAGGCATTGCCGTTCTCCAGAATGCCCAGCTTTATAAGTTATTGAGCAGTAAGAATAGATTCCTTGAATTGTTACCTAGTATTAATTGATAGTCAGCCAACCTTCTATAGTGAACAGGCTGCTGAGGACATTTGCCACAGTCCTGACAATACTAGCATTTATTAAATAAAATAAGCTTTAGATTTAACTGTAAGAATTAAGGAGATCATCTGGAAAAAAAACTATTGCTTCTTATCAAGATTAAATTTAGGAAGAATTTACTTCTCCCCTGAATTAATAGTAAGGACTTTGCTTGACTTGAAGGCTTCCTATTACAAAATGGCAGTGAAGGAGCCTGCCACCATCACGTAGGTCTGTGGAAGAAACTGCAGCACCTACAGACCCAAAGTCTGCCATAAATGGTGTTCTTAAATGCAGTAAGCTGCAAACACTATTACAATAGCTGAAGTACAATATTCTTGAAAAATATTCTTTTCCTATCTTTTGGGAGGAATATATTCTATAACAAAGAAGCTATGAAATAATCTCCAAAGGTTTTGCATTATTTCTGCCAAAAGTGAAGGACATTATACAAAGGACACCATTCTATTCCCCACTTATTTTGTGATGGCAAAAATCCTGTTTTAGCTGCTCGCTTTTGGCTGTATTCTGGCAGTTGCCATGCTAAACAGACTCCACTGAATCTTTAATAAGAAGTGCAAATTCTAAATTAAATTTGGAATCCTTATTTTTCTATTGACAAAACAGCTCAAAGAACTGTGGGCTTGCATTTTCATCAGGGAGAGTCAATAGCAGCGACACCAAAAACTATTGCTTCCATTTCCACTTTTTTTTCTTGAATGCTAGTCCACCCAGTTGCATTGGCACTCTAAACCTTTGAGGCTAGGTACTGTTTGCCAGCCATTAGAATATTGCTATGTTTACCACTCTGCGTTACAAATAATCTAAATCTAGTCTATCAATATTATTCCATCTTCTGTAGTAACAAACCTTAACAGAAGGTAGAACTATATAATGCAATGTACCCTTTCTCTCCCCTATATTTTAGGGGTCTATCTTTAACGAAATAAAATTTACATTGTCTCTTCTAGGTAACTGAAGGAGAAAGAACAACAACGTCTAAAAGTTGGCGTCATCCACTGAATAAACCCCCTGCCAGATCGCCTATGACGCTGGTTAAACAGCAGGCAATCAGTGATGAAGGTGAGTATTCATCTACAGACCCCTCTCATAATGTATGTTTCAGCCACTATACAAGCATCTGTGTACACTTGAAACATTGCACAATGCTGAAAATGAAAGGACATTTGACCACATGCCAAAACCTCTACTTTGTTCCAAAATGAACCTTATTAGAAGCTTTCAGCATTCCTCCTTAATGCAGGATGTTACTGTTTTGGTTTGGTTTTTTGGTCCTTCCTCTTAAATCCTTCCAAACACATTAGAAAGGATGTGTAAGAAGCTCAGAACAGTATGAAGTCGCTTAAATACTACATGGAGGATGAAAGCTCATTCAGCAACCAGATACTCTTTGTTGGATTTCTCAGCAATTAGCTTTGGCACAGAACATTACACTTTATTGTATGATGGCAAGCAGAGTTAAACAGGCTACCTTTGCATCTTCTTATCCACTTGGCTTTTTGTTCCCTTTTATAACTATCCACTGGGTTTTGCAAAAAGCCCTGATTCTCCAGTAGATCTTGTTTTTACTCTGGCTCAAGATAGAGGCAGTTTGCTCACTTATACATTCCACAGTTCATTAACTGTAGGTTGTTGGGAACATGTGAGAGTGAGTGATCATGCAGGTTCCCACCCACTCATCCCCTTCTGCTGCACTAAACAGCAGAGTGATGCAGTCTCAGGAGTGTGCTTTGCAATGTGTGAATTCAGAACTCTGGGTTGTTGAGGAAGAAACTAGTTAGAGTTAGAACACTTGAGTTGTTTTGTTGTGCAAACTGGTCACTGGGTTGGATCCAAGGAAACAGGAACAAAAGAAAACTAACTAGTAACAGTGGTTTGCAAGAGTTTGCACAGTATTATAGTTCTTAAAATCTCCATCTGTTCTCATAATTCTGATTATGTAAGAGGTCATGCAAGCACCTTCACAAGTAGAAGAATATATTTGGATTTGGTCATTCTGTGCTCTAATCTGAGGTATAAAATACTGTTTTTGTAAATGGAAGGTGACTTTTGAGTGCAGAAAAGCAACTTTTATATCTAATTAATTGGACCCAGAAGGTGGTGTTGGAGAATGTTTCTTTCACACATTTGTCCATTCACTTTACGGTATCTTAAAGTTCATCTTGTCCCTCATGTTTTTGCAACTTCAATATGAAACCTCTGGGAGACATCAGTAGTAGGTTTAGGTAGAGGTTTCATTGATAGGCAGATGACACACTGTTCTATATCTTCCTCTTAGTATCTAATCGTGGTGGGTGATTGTTTAAACCCTGTACAGGTGTAATGGTGAGGCAACCTGCCCTCACCAAATGCTGCTGAAAGTCCCCTCCTTCCGACAGCCCCTGGGACTAGAAAAGACTTAATCTCGGCCCTTGACCAAGAAGCAGCATTGGACCAGCACATGTTAACCCAAGACTTGGGGAAAAGAATCTTTATTAGACTACAACAGACACACACACAGAGAGGGAAAAAGTACAAATAACTTTGGCTACTCAGGAGTAAGTGAAGGGGAAAGGGGAGAAAAGGGTGAGATAGTAGCTTTGTGTTGATACAATACAAATTCCAGAGGTTCACCCATCAGGGTCGTTTGACCATCCCAGGCTCTAAAACAACAAACATGAACTGAGCTAAAAAAACCCAAGAACTTTCTCACTGTGCCAAACCGGTCTCCTCAGAGTAACCATCCCAATCTCCTAGGCTTTGGCGTCTTGCATCTTTTGGCATACCTCCGTCTACCTGCAAAGCAAGGCGTGCCAACGTGGAAATCAGCTTTTTATTTCCTCCCCGAGCCAGTGTAACCCTTTGATCTCCAGGAGACCATTGAGAAATCTAAACCATTTGCCCTCCTCAGGGCACCAGATTCACAGAACCATTTGCCATTTTTATTGCCTTTTCCTTCATCCTGACATCCTTCGGGGAAGATGGTATCTGACCTTGTAAATCTTCAGGCCTTCAACCCTTCTTCTCCCACTGCCTGACCTTGGCACCAGAGCGTCCCTGGTACAGCCACCTGAGTCTTCTCCGCTCTCCCCAACAGGCTGGCCAACTCCGTCTTTTAACTCTTGCCACTCCTCTAGTATCAAAAGGCCCTTTCCATTACAACAGGTGTCTGGGAGATCATTGGAATAGATTAGAGCTAACAAGCTGAAACTCAGTTTGGAGAAGATGAATGTATTAAGGGTTGAGTTATTTATTATGCTGATGAAGGTTTAGATCTGACTCTGGATGCCCCCCTCCCTGCAAACAGCCAGGTGTGGAGTTGTGGAGTAACCCTGAACTCAGTGTTGTCTATGGTTGCCTGTGCAGAATTAGCTCCCAAGAAGACTTTTTACCAGTTTAGGAAGGTTTGGCAGCTAGAGAAAGCTGACCTATCCATAATGTCATAGACCTTGGTTACATGCAGGTTGTATTACTGTAATGTTCTCTGTGTGGGGCTGCTATGGGGAACTGCAGCTAGAATGCTCATGGAAACCAGGTGCTCAGACCACTTTACTTCCACTGTGAATCATTTGTATTGGCTACCTGTTAGTTTCCAAACCCAGTTCAAAGTACTGGTTTTGGTATTTAAAGCCCTACATGGTTTTGGACCATATTACCTGAAGGACTGCCTCAAGTAGTAAACTTAGGATCAAAGGTCCTACTCTTTGGCCCAGTAGCAAAAACCAGAACCAGGATCAGGGCTTTCTTGGTGGTAGCCCTTAACTTTGGAATTCCTTCTACAAGGAAGTATGTATGGCTTCATCACAGCTGGCTATATTTCAAAAAAGTCAAACTATTGGTTTAAAGAGTAAACAACCCGAATAAATGCATTTATCCCAGTCTGTACTTGGTAATTGTGAACTATCAGGTGGTTCTGTTCCTGCAGTATATGTGTGGATAAGAATGCACACATACTTAATTGTGATTCATGTTGTTAATATTTTGAAATTTTGTAAATTAACTTGTAGGAATAGTACACTCTAAAAGGCAGGTGATTTTTTTTCTAATAATAATAAATAGCATGATTTTGTGCTTAGTTACTATTAATTCTACCAGTCTATCATTTAACATAATCATCTGTTGGCAAAGTATTTTAGTGCTCTATGAATATATGTTCAGGTAGATAGGTGAACAAGCTTGTAAGAGATTTGAAATATTTTTATAATCAAAAGGTCAGTACAAAAGCACTGGCATTGTACAATATATCTAAAGATAGTTGTGCAAATGAAATTCATTGAGTGAGTTTGCATGATGTGCCATAAATATGCATGAACCATAACTGTGGGGTTTTTAAAATCATTGTTTGTCTGTCATGTTAAGGCAATTCACCAGATTTTGTTTTTCCCGCAAAAGCCATGATTAGGAATAATGGTTTGTTGTATGGCTTCTGCTTACCATGATGCTTTCTAATGGCATTTGAACCCGAGAATATAATTGAATCATTGGTGGTACTGAAATACCATACACTCCAATGTAAAGAGCACAAAAGGAGCCTCTGGATTCATCCAGGCACTACTACCCATGCCTGCCTCATAACACCTGTAACATTGTTTGCTTTGCTTCTACAGGGTTTTTAGTGTTCCCACTAAAACTACTAGTGTTCCCCACACACCAACTGTATCCTTTTTGTCCTGAATTCCACTTGTTTTCTAGCTACTGAGAATTGTGCAGCAGTGTCCAATAGATCAACCTTTCAGTCAGCCTGTTGCTTTATTGCTGTCTTCCTGCTGTGGTTGTCTAAGGTTCCACCTGCCTTGCTTTTCTGCAAGTTAATTTAATGCAGCAGTATTGCTCTTCTGTTTTTATTGTGACACTTTCCTGTGGAGATGAGATGGGCTACACACTGTACATTCATAAAGTGTGTTTTCCATAAAATACCCCTATCCTAGCTTCTCCCTTATCTATGTGCCTCTATTAATATTTCATCTGTACTACATTTTGGGAATGTAAATTAATCTTGCCACCTCCCCCCTCAGCTTAATCTGTGGCACAATTAGTTTCCTAAAAGGCATCCTCTCTACATGTGGGAACTTTTCAGAGTTTCTGACACTGCAAAGCCAGGTTTGACAGGTTTGTCCTTTCTTTACAATTCTTTCTATTCTGTCATGCATCTTACATTTGAGATTTGTAGTCTCAGTTTGCAACCTTGGACTTCCTTGTTCTAAGTTTATAACAACTGTCTTGATCTGATACTACATATAGTCTTACATAAACTTTTATTACATAGTTTTTAGAAAACATTTTTGGGAATAAATATATCAACATGTGTGAAATATATGAAAATGTCTGAAACATTTTATTCAGCATTCTAAACATAAATATTTCATTATTCAGTATTTTTCCATTTTTTTTTCTTCAAGACAGTCTTCAGACAGAAAAGGGGAATAGGAAAACAATTATCCACAAAATTTCTATGATTTTTTTCTGGGCCTTCACATCTCTCTAAGACTGGGTTTGCATAACATGACAAGCAACCAAGCATGATTTCCATGATGCATGTCTTTTATTTTGATGGGATGTTCCTGATAAATGATTAAGTGGTTTCTATACTAGCATGATTTTTATTTTTCCTCATTCAGTCCTTCTGCTGTTAGCATGTATCCTATCAGCTCTTGCACATGAAATTCAATCCCATGGTGGATGACTGGAGCAGCTCCTGCAGCAGTTGGTTCTCTGCAGTGAACTCAGTGGTACTTGCATATAGGACTGTGGATACCATGATACCGTGGTGAAGCATGGAAACCATACAACAGATCATTTTTTTCTTATCGTGGTTTCTAAAAACCAATGTAGCATGCTGAAATGTCACAACCGGGCTCAGATGATGTGACAGACCATCTTGCACAAGAAACCATTGTGGCGTGGCACATTGTATAAACCCTCTAAAAGACTAGGGATTCATAAAACATGTGAATACCTAAAAATATCTTGCAGAAGGACTATTTGGTTATATCTGACTGCAAATCTCAGTAAACACATGTTTATATTAGTCCTCCTCTATCGTTCCTGTGAATCAGCCTTTCCCAGCCTGATGCATGTGGGTT